TAGGTAGGTAGGGTACTGAGTGCTTCAGAAGGCGCGGATTTGCCCTCCGCGATTATGTCATTGTGGTAGGGTCGCGTTTTTCCTTAGCGCTTCAAACAGCGGCGCTTAGCCCTTCACGCTTATGTCTCCGCGGATAAGGGCTTCGTGGTATTGTGGTGGAACCCTCTCTCCCTACCTACCTATTTCTCTCTCGCTTTATCCTTCTATCTACCTATCTACCTACCTACTCTCTCTCCCTTCCTTCCTACCTACTGTATTTCATTTCTCTATCCTTCTACCTACCTACCTACCTACCTACCTACCTACCTACCTACCTACTTTCTCCCTCTTCCTACCTACCTACTATATTTCTCTATCTCTATCCCTCTACCTACCTAGCTACCTACTCTCTCTCCCTACCTACTTACTGTATTTCTCCCTCTCCCTCTATCTATCTGCCTACCTACTGTATTTCTCTCCCTCTCTATCCCTCTATCTACCTACCTACCTTTTTTTAAATTTGCGTCTTCAAAACATTGGTGCATCTTATACTCCGCTGCATCTTATATTCCGAAAAATATGGTATACATGTATAGTAATTGTATTTTTAACTCTCCCTCCCCCAGCCTATTTTTGGGTGAGATGTAGATCTGGTTACAATTCCCAGCTATTCTCATCATTAAGTTTATATAATTATGAATCCTTACACACCCCAAATTTGTGATTCTCTCTTTGTAATCTCAATAATTTCCCAATATTCATGTTCCCTCTCCATTTTTCCATGTCTTGGTTTAGGTTCCCCTTAATTGTCTTTAAATAACAATCCTTACTGTTCAATATCCTTTACAATTCCTTTAATCTACTATATAGAATAACAAGTGGTACACATGTCACTTTGTTCATAATCTTAGGAGTTCTATATGTATTCATGTTTCATATATTTTAACCCATACTTAATTGTCCTTCCAATGTCATATTCAATCAATTAGCAACTCAGTTTAATTATGTATAAAAGTAAATCACAAACCTCTGCTTTACATTCTCTCCATAATAGTTTCATATTTGTCCATATTCCATATATTTTAATCTTTTTAAATTATCTTTCCATTATCATATTCAATCAGTTAGCAACTCAATGTTATTATCATGTATAGGAGTAAACCACATATCTCAGCGTTATATTTCCCCATATAACAATTTCTAATTATCATAGTGTGAATGGTATGCTTGGTTGATGTTTGNCTCGTCCTCGCTGTCATATGATTTGGGCAACTGGTTGTTGTTGGCTGGGGTTCCATCACTTTTGCCTGAGGGGGAAGGGGCCTCTGCAGCCTGGAGGGCTTTCCTGGATGTGTTGGTGGTCCATTTGGGGCCTCGTTCTGGTCGTGGCTTGGGCAGTGGATATGGACTTGGTTTTGGGGCTGGGGTTGGGCATGCAGCTGCCATGTGGCCCATCCCCCCATATCAGTAGCCTTTCAGCAGAGTTTGAGGGAGGGCTGGTCTCAGAGCCTGATGTGGTGCTGTGATTCCCCGTCGGCTGGGTAGTTTCAGGTCAGGTTGACCTCTCTTTTTTGTGTCCTGTTACTTTCTCATGTCGTTGGCGTATAGCCCACTGCCGACTTCCGTTGCTTCTCAGAACTACTCAGAGAGTCGATTTGGGGTGTCACAGTATGTGGTTACCTGGGCAATTTGCTTGTCCAGGCTTGTTCTGAAAAAACACATCAGCAGCTGGTAAAGCGGGTAGCCTTCTTATGACCCTTCTAAATCATGCATGTGCTCTTTGAAGGGGCGGCCCCTCTGCTTTAGGTTGCTGAGTTCCTCTTCTGCATAGGGGTCCTCCTCCACCTCCTCAAATTTGTCCTCTAGCAGTTGCAGGAAGTTATATATATATATATATATATCTTGCAGTTGATTTTTGCCCCCGAAGCCCCCAGCAGCACTCTATAAGCCTCCATAAGGCTATGCATGCAATTGTTTTGACAAAAAAAACAGGAAGCACTCTGCAAGCTCCCCCAAAGCTATTCATTCCTTTTATTTGAAAAAAAAAACGGGCCCATTTTTGCGAGGTTTGCAGAGTGCAAACACTTTTTTCCCCCTTTCGGAAAGCTTTTTAGTTAGAGTGATTGATTAGAATTACATTGATCAAGTGCTGTGCCAGCAGAAACAAGTCTTAGGTTGTCAGCGATTTCCTTCTCCAGCACATGGATAAATACACCGGGAAACACCTACCTACCTACCTACCTAATCTTCTCTCTCTCTCCCTATCTATCTACCTACTGTATTTTTCTCTCTCTATCCCTCTACCTACCTACCTACCTACCTACCTACCTACCTACCTACCTACCTACCTACCTACCTACCTACNCCCCCTCTCTACATTCCACTCCTCCTTATCCTTCTCATCTTCCCCCCTTCCCCTCTCTCCTATCCCTCTCTTCCCATCTTTCTTCTCTCTTCTGTTTCCCACTCCTCCTCTCATTGGTGTATTTCCGCTTCATGTCATTCCTCCTATATCTTGAAATCTGGGATAAAGCTCCAAATTGTCAAATTCACTTTTCCATCTTTCCTTCTTTTCGCTTTAACCCATATTTGCTCCATTAACAACAAAGGAAATATGAGAAATTACTGATAAGTCAAAAATTCATTACAAAAAGTAATGTATGTCTATATATTCTAATATTGTGAGATCAGATAATATATAGACAAGCAATAAAGGGCAGAATGTTAATTCAGTGGAGGCTTCCACAGCCCTGTGCCAGCCCCATCAGCCAGTGCTTGGTTCACGGAGCACAGGTTGGAGGCAGATACCATACCTGCCCCTCAGCTGTTTATCGACACAGTCCAGAGGCAATGGTCTGCACCTACATCCGGCCCAGCACCCTCCATCACTGACAAGTGTTTCTACAACGTGGTGGAAGGGCTTGATAAGTTGCTCCATTGGCCCACCATTGATGCTCCGATAGCGGCTCTCTATCCAGCACCATGCTATTGTGTTCACAAGTGGAAATTCTCAAGCTGGAGGACAAAAGAGATGACCAGACCCTTCCATGAGGACACCAGGCAGTGGCCTGGGCAGGCCATGCCTTGACTGCAACATTCTTTTTCTCTAGGTCCAGCCTCTTCTGGCTGCAGCAGCTCCGGCCAGTGATTCCAGAGCTCACCAATATCTTAATAAGATCGTAGTCGCCATTCAATTTTCTTTGTATTCTACTCATCGCAACAAGGGTCGTATCCCTGGCCATGACCTCCTCAGTGGCATCCCGCAAGCTCCTTTGGTGGCACCAATGGCAGACTGACTTGAGACACAAGTGGCATC